TGTGCGGATTTTTAAACAAAATTGAAATGCATTTTATTCTACATAAAGAACAATTTTAATCAATTATATATTTTGTGTTCGACAATCTTTTATCATTTTTCACGTAATTTCATAACTTCTCTCCCGTAAAATTCTTGTATTTTTCTGGCGAAAAACGTTTAGTGATTTTTCATATCTCCTAAAGAAACAAAGTTTATACTGTCAATTCTGTAATGAGCAAAACAGATGATTATAGGAAGAGGCAATGTCGGGTGAATATGATGAGTGAGGCAAAACATCCCAACCAAACAATTATTGTCGGGTTTGTAATGACACATGAGATTTTGCATTATGACACATGAGATTTTGCATTAGTAGTGGAAGACGACACTTTTGTCTTCAATATGTCCAATTGCGCGCAGTACTTGTCCGAATTAATGGTTTGATTAGGAGTAGCAACTCCTAATACACAATTTCTTTCCAGTCCCATCAGTAGTAAGCGGCCCACTATAGGGCGTCAAAACATCCTCCACTGCCAACCCCCCTGACGCCAGACTTTTCCCCCTTATTTCTATCCTGGCGCGGTTGGTGGTGGGGGAATGTTTTAACGCTCCATAGTGGGCCGCTTACTACTCCCACCAGATGAAAACTATGATTTTTTGGATGCAAACTAGACTTAGAAGCAAGTGATGGAGGTTCATCTCATTACTTACGATCGTTTTAATTGAACATTATTGTAAAGAATCCACTTTTCGTTTCCCGTCATTATGGTCGAGTTTTTTAATTCATCGATGGATCCATCGCATGATGCGCAAATGCAATGTTTCTCTGTATGTATGCATCATGCGATGGAATCATCGATGAATTAAAAAACTCGCCTTATTTGTTTAAAAAACGATTCATTGATTGAATCTGCGATCTACTAAAGGAGCATCTTAAAAAGTGACCAATTTTTACTACCAATCCGGCATAAATATTTGCATGGTTTCTTATAGTTTCTTGGTGAAATGCGATAACATTCATTTGTTGTGTAAGGAAAATACATAAAAACCTCAAAAATATTTATAACCCTTATTTTCCATTTTTATTTTTTTATTTAAGTTTTTTAATCGGTTTAGTACTTGTTTTCATAATTGAAATAAATAACAATTGAAATATTAAAGTACTTTCATTTAAAAAACCCATTTAAATAATGGAGTATGTTTGCACTCCACACGATTATTTACGTTGCATGCATATGCGCAAGGGATTCAAACGATATAGAGTTGATAGGCTTCCAATCTCAGTGTACTGTACTCAAATGCTTGTACATACATAGACCTATTAGTACACAATCGCGGATGTATATCGATATATATTATATGAAAAAACAATTATCTTTCGAATGACATCTAAACATTTTTCGAAATTTCTAAAACCTCTTCTAATATATTCGTTCGCTTACGATGTCTTTCCCGTACACAACATGTATCTTCTCATGTGTTTACGTTGCATTCTTATCTTTATGGAAATAAGAAAAAGCATAATGTACTGGAAACTCATTACTGCCTTTCATTCTTAAGCTGCACCAAAGTCAATTGTATTTCTCTAAATACTATCACTTACACTACCAAATATATTTTGAAATGTCAGCTATCAAAATAAATATACAGATTACCAACCGTTCTTTTTTAACCAACCTACGGATACTAACTAAACAAAAATCCACACGATTTATGGAACAACAATAGATTTTTATATACTATCAGACTGCTAACTCCTTAGTTGCAGTTGAAGCAAAAAGTGACGGCCATTTTTGTTAAAGCATTCGATATATTCACATACTAAATTTTGCCTTAACAAAGATGGCTGCCACTATTTACACTACGTTAAAATTTTGCCTCACTTTTTTATAGACTGATCATAGGGAGTTAGCAGTCTAATAGTATATAGAAGCTGTGGGAACAACTCTATATATATATTTTTTTTTTATTATATATATATATATATTATTATTATATATATACAGGGTGTCCCAGATCATCTTTACAATCTCTCATGAGGACGTAGAGCGGATTGAGATGAACATAAAAGTTCCATATTGTTTTGCGATATTTGCAATAATAGTCGATATATTAATTAAAGAAGATTGGTGAATGATCACGCGCGATATGGTAGGTGAGCTGCAGTGGCGCTGTTTGCCGTTGTATACTTATATATTAAGTCATACTGAACAAAAAAGTCCTCTACCATTTTGAAAATGACCACTTAGATTTGTAAATATTAATTAAAGAAAATTGTTACACGATTGTGTATCATAATACACATTTTTTTAATTAATATCTAAAAATCTATGTGGTCATTTGCAAAATGGTAGAGGACATTTTTGTTCAGTTTGACTTAATATTATAAGTATACAACGGTAGACGATGTCACTGTAATTCATCGACCATATCGTGCGTGATTATTCATCAATCTTCGTTAATTAATATCTCGTCTATTATTGCGAATATCGCAAAACGGTATAGGACTTATGTTTATCTCAATCTTCACGAGAGATTGTGAAGGTGATCTGGGACACCCTGTATATTTAATTATATACATATATATTTTTTCTTATATGCGTGTATGCACGCGCATGTATGTGTGGGGCATAATCTATAACACATTAGGTTTTTAATTTTAGACTTTCTTTTTTTCTCTTTCTTTCTGTATATATATTGAATCAATGCATAGAAAGAATTTATGAAATATGCAAATATTCTAAAAAATTGGAATTATTAAAATTTAGTTGAAGTTCAGTATTATGTTTTAGCGAGATACATAGTATTTTAACGTCAAGATTAGTTATACATTATTCATTACTGGATAACTTTATTTCAACCGTATAACTTTAATAATCATTACACAACTTGTATTCAATATTATCAGGAGGAAAACCAAGGTGCCTGTCAAAATTTTGATCCCGCCTTTGCAAAATGGAGAAAAACCAAGGTTATTATTCTCTCGTTATTTGGTGTTGGTACTCCAACATATAATGAACAAAACATTTATTTGCACAATTCATCTCTTTGGGATAATACTAAAGGAAATGGTTACTACAATACACTTTTGTCAAATATACGTGAAAAAATTTATCCCAAGCAGATAAAACATACAAATACTTGTTATCTTCTGTACACTTGTTTGTAGAACGGCTTAAACACGTTTCCCTCGACATTCGAAACGCAGTCGACGTTCAATGGAAGAATATGCTTTTGAGTAATTTTTATAAGATGGATTCTCTCATTGAATGTCGAATGCGTCTCGCAATGTATCGAAAAAAAAAAGAAAGTGTCCCATCGCTTTGCAATCCAGTATACATGTACCTGCGTTTTGATGAACGTACGCTATTATTTTGTATGGAATATCAATTTTATCTATTTGTAATTTCGTATACCGTAGGAATGCGTTAGACAAAAAGTTACATGATAGAGGAGATCAGGTCTGGTTGTCACATTTTTATTCACTAATAAAAAAGAGATGCACATTTTCATATAGATATAATCTTTAGGTAAAAAAAGGAAATTATTATCCTTATATATATACACACACATACACGCATAAGAAGTTATTAAGTTGTAATAAAAATAAAAAATTAAATTACAATATAACAAGGAAAACCTTACTTATTGCATTCAATACTAAAAAAGTGCTTGTAAATACTGCATGCGATATTTCCGTTATAAGCTGTTTTGTGCATCTAACATGATACAAGTGTAACCTATACTATAGAAAAAAAATATGCTCCTTCATTTACTACGTGAGATATAAACTTTGTGACAATTGACTCTGTGCGATTCTAGACTCGGTCTTCTCTACCATAGCTCGTTTATTATCTGACGAGATTGGAATTATTAAGGTTCCTTCGCGAAATTTGATTCATAACATCAGAAGGGAGAAAACTTATGCCCAAAATTTTTACGTGCTATTTTTTAATAAAAATATATTTATATGAAAGAACACTTAAGATCGGTTCAGCATATTTGTAAAATGTTCCGAAAAAACTATCTTTTTTTTTGATAAGCATTAAATAAATAATTAACGTGATAAAATTATGAGAAAAGATAGGGAGAAGGTGAGAATATGAATTACTTTTTTGTTTTAGCTGAAAAACTCAATATTGAATATAATAATTGCATCAATAACCATCAGAAATATTAGCAAATATATCTCTTATAATATATTCATAATTATTAGGAGAAAGAGAGCACAATTTTTTTTTTAATTATTATTATTTATTTTTAGCGCCAAAAATGGAGTCTTGGAAAATAGAACAATAATACGAAACAGCATGAAAAAAGAAACGTTTATAAAGTTATTGATGTTAAAATAACTTTTTTTATTTAATTCCATTTTTTATTGAATTCCTTTGAATGTAAAAATCATAAGTAAAAAGTAAAATTAAAAGATTTTCTATAAAAATTAAAAACATAAGTTTAATAATTCAAATTATGTAAAAGTCTTATAAACATATAACATTATAACATTATAACATTATAAGTTTAATAATTCAAATTATGTAAAAGTCTTATAAATGTAAAAGTTGCAAATAAAAATATCATTTTTACTTACTGCATAAAACATAATAATATATATCTTGTTCCATGTTATCATCACTATTTTCCAAACGACCAAATGAATCTCAAATTAGGAAACATATTTCCAAATAAATAACTTTGCGATTTTGAAGTTCAATTTTACTACTAACCATATTATAGCTAATATTTAACTCGAAATTGTATGTCATATGAATAAATTCGTGTAAATACATTTTTAAAGTTCACGAAACTCTGTTGAAATTATCTAAATGACTGACTGACTACACTACAAGACAATGACTGAGAATAATAACACTGAGCAGAACATACCAAGTAAGAATGACTTAATGTTATAATTAAACGAAAAAATCAAAACAAAAAAATAAGTTTTGAGATGTAATAAATATATTTGTATATAACACGTATATAGACCTCTCTCAAGCTAGCAGGATCAAATGAGCAGAATCGAATGGGATCTATCGCATTTTTTAGTATTTATTTTGTACTATTTTGTACCACAAAAAAAAATTTGCCACGTGCCGTTTTAAAAAAAACGATGGCGGTGCTAACTTGATATCAAGCTAGCAGGACCAAAAAAAAAAATAAAAAAAATAAATAAACCATAATACACACAATTAGTACTGAATTTGTACTAATTTGTACCATTCGAAATAAATCGAAAATTTTATATTTTCCCCTTTAAACAACCCCTCCCTTATCTAAACCTAATATAAAGATAGCAGGATCACGATTTTTTCACTTTTTCTTGATGGTACAAATTAATACAAATTCAGAAACGATAAAATCTATTGCAATTTGCCGTTTTTCAATGATATTTACTCTGTTAGCTTAAAATTAAGTCAGCAGAATCACAATTTTTTATAAATAAGACAAGGTATAAAATTATTTTTAATGGTACAAAATACTACACAATAAGTACTGAAAAATGCAATAAATTTGATTTGATTTTACTGATTTAATACTTAATAATCGGAGCAGAAAGCTTTATTCTTGAAGCTGAGGTCAAAGTTAAGGTTATTTTAAAGGGTCGGTAGAAATATTTTTGATACTTTTTTTGATGGTACAAATTGGTACAAATTCTGAAACGACAAAATTTACTATTTGTTTCGTTTTTTTAACAATTTTTATTTTGCTGACTTTATATTAAGTCAATAGGACCACGATGTCTCTTAAAGGATGTGGAATATAAAATTGTTTTAATGGTACAAAATACTACACAATAAGTACTGAAAAATGCAATAAATTTGATTTGATTTTACTGATTTAATACTTAATAATCGGAGCAGAAAGCTTTATTCTTGAAGCTGAGGTCAAAGTTAAGGTTATTTTAAAGGGTCGGTAGAAATATTTTTGATACTTTTTTTGATGGTACAAATTGGTACAAATTCTGAAACGACAAAATTTACTATTTGTTTCGTTTTTTTAACAATTTTTATTTTGCTGACTTTATATTAAGTCAATAGGACCACGATGTCTCTTAAAGGATGTGGAATATAAAATTGTTTTAATGGTACAAAATTACATTAATCGTGTAGTATTTTGTATTATCAAAAATGATTTTATATTTCGTTTTATTTAAAAAAATATTATGGTCTTGCTGACTTAGTATAAAGAGAACAAAATGAAAACTGGTAAAAACCGACAGAAAACGATAGATTTTATTGTTTCTGAATTTGTACTAATTTGTACCACCGAGAAAAGTATGTAAATATTCCTGTTTACCCCTTAAAACAACCTCACATTTAACCAACCTCAAAACTAAAATTTCTCTCTTTCGATTATTAAGAATTAAATAGATAGAATCAAATTATATTTATTGCGTTTTTTATTACTCATTGTGTACTATTTTGTACCATAAAAAATAATTTTGTACCCCGTACTATTTAAAAAAATATTGTGGTCCTGCTAACTTAATATAAAGAGAACAAAATAAAAACTGGTAAAAAACGACAAGAAATGATAGATTTTATCGTTTTTGAATTTGTACTAATATGTACCATCAAGAAAAAGTGAAAAAATCGTGATCCTGCTATCTTTATATTAGGTTTAGATAAGGGAGGGGTTGTTTAAAGGGGAAAATATAAAATTTTCGATTTATTTCGAATGGTACAAATTAGTACAAATTCAGTACTAATTGTGTGTACCATGGTTTATTTATTTTTTTTATTTTTTTTTGGGTCCTGCTGGCTTGATATCAAGTTAGCAGCACCACCATTTTTTTTAAAACGGCACGTGGTACAAATTTTTTTTTATGGTACAAAATAGTACAAAATGAGTACTAAAAAATGTGATAGGTTCCATTCGATTCTGCTCATTTGGTCCTGCTAGCTTGAGAGAGGTCGTATATAGCACATGTTGATTCCTTAAATATGTACACGGTTTCGGAAAATTACGTTCTATTTGTGAAAATTCTTTTGTTAATAATTTTATAAGCATATTTACCTAATTTTTTAATTTCATATGAAAAATTTTAACAGGAAGAAAACAAAGCGCTTTTTAATACTATAAATAAAAGACACTAATATCAAATGCATTGCTAAGCTGCTAAGAACCTAATGATTATGTTTATTTCAATTATTGACAAATCGCAGCAATTGTTTAAGAAATGAGTCGTGTTTCATATTATCACCTTCTTCCTTAAATTAAAAAGGAAAGTTGCATATCACGTTAATTTTACAGTTATTTATTGATCATGAAGAGAAAATTCTTTCATTCAAATATCTTTTTATTTGGTAATGGTAGGCAATAATTTTTAGCATATATAATTTCTGATATCCCCTCTCTCCTCTTCTCCCCTCTGGAGTCACGATCCCATATATGGCCGTTGCGTGCATCCAGGAGTTTTAAAAATAGTTTGGAACACGCGCTTGATAACGTCAGAGTAAATGATTTTATCATTTTATTATTATTTATAGCATGTTAATTGTGTTCACTGGAATCCTTGGTTGCTTTTATAATATACTCTTCACTTGCTTACATTTATATATTCATATATATATTAGGTGGTAAACTTAGTTCCTGCGGTTTTTTTGTTTAAAAAACTCATTTATTTCGACATCAAAAGCAAAAAATACATTAATCGAAGTATTTTCCCTCGCTAGCTATACATTTTTTCCATCTTTCGGGCAACGCGTAGATTCCGCGACGATAGAACGATTGGTCTTTTGATGCAATCCATTCGTCGATCCATTTTCGCACATCCTCGTAATTTCTGAAGTGTGTATC